GTACACAGCACCGTAATTCAATCCTTCATAGACGTCTTCACGCTTAAAACATTAAAAATATACAACGTATTAATCCATTCATCAACTCTATATAGATTCATATGTTAAATTGCTCAAGCAAGTGGAAAAACCTTTAAACAAATGGTACTTCTCTAATGATAAAAGGTAGTATCGCAAACATTTTAAATTAAAACTTAGCATTCGCTCAAACAGCTGAATCCCATGCCTCTTCTTTTGCATTTAAATCAAAATAATTGATTCTAATTGGTCAATAGCACCATTTAGCGTTACGTTATTCCCAGATAACTGCTGAAAACAGATAACACAGGCTCATCCGGGTTACTGAAGTTAGAGACCCTGACAAAGGCTACTTGTGCCGAAACGTTGGTGAGTGAGTGTGCAGTTACATTCTCTTTGCATTAAGTGTTTTCCTTTAACTTGCACCTCAAATAGTGTGCGTTTGCTTTGCTGTTCTTTTAAGCAGTTATTTAATTATGTCATCAAGAATCGTGGACTTGCTATCTCTTTTCATAAAAATGCAGCTGCTGCAATTTTGCGACTATTGTTTTGTACACTGTTGGATTAAGTTTCGGAAAACAGGTAAGATTTTAAAACAGTTTCATCTCAAATCAATATGTCTTCTCTCCATAATTATTTATGTGGCGAAATGCAGTGTAATAAGTGGTATGACTGTATCCCTTATTTGTCTGTCTAGTTTGAACTTGCTGCGCTAGCAAATGCTCTCTCCGTGGAAGTTTTGCGTTAAAAAACCTAATAAAATATTTCGACTCAGATCAATATTTTGTGTCTAATTATTTACTAATGTGGGAAGTAGCTGTGTAATAAGCGGGATAATGTACATTCAGCCGATTGTTATCTCAAAATAAACCCCGACAGGGTCATCAGGACCCCTATGGGGAGGACCGGATTATCAAATCAAAAAGTTGAGGTGGGTCAGGGGTGGGGGTGCGGTGAAACGCATAACAGTTTCAATAAATAAGCTAAAGTAAATCTAAAAATGAAAGTATTGTGGAAACGTGATACCCAACAGTATGCAGTACGGAAACCACCATTCCTCCTGCACTAGCTTGATGGCAAGAAGCTCCCAGTTGCCTATATCATAATTTTGCTCTACCAAGGCACATGGAAAGAGTTTTGCTGGATCTCCTTGCCGCTGAGATAAAATGGCTCCTAGGCTGGTAGTGAAGGCATCCACTTCTACCATGAATCGGGAATAGAATGAACGAGGATAGGGGCACTGGTGAAGGTATCCATTACATTTTTAAAGGCTTTGTAGGCTTTGGGGTTCCAAGACAGAGAATTGAAAGAAAGGTAAGTGTAAGAGAGAGAGATGATATCTAGTCCCCTACATATCCTGCATTCTGAAATAGAGAGAGGATATCTAATCCTCTCTCTATTTCAGAAGGCAGACGAGTGGAAGACCTTGGCCACTATGAGTATCCGGTCATGCCATATGGGCTAGACAATGCTCCCTCTGTATTCCAGAGGTTTGTTAACAAGGTTTTCTGTAACTTCACTTCGTTGAATTCTAGATTGGTGATATTATTTTCTCCAGCAACCTGACAAAACACCATTAGAATGTGACCCTGGTACTGGAGAAACTGCAAAAACCTGATCAGTTCCTCAGGGCTGAGAAGTGTCCATTCTACCAACTATATGTGTGCAATTCCTGGGTTGAAAACTTTGCACCTGAGAGCATGCAGATGGACTCTGGGAAGGTGCAAGAAGTTCAGTCCTTGCCACTTCCGTCCACTGTCAAGGAACTACAGCATTTCCTTGGTTCACCAGAAGATTCATCTTTGACACACTGTGATCGCAGCTTTCTTTCAAGTCGGCTTTTGGTTTCAAAAGCGGACACTCAACTGAGACTGCCCTGCTCTCGGTTGTTGAAGCTCTGAGACTGGCAAGAGCAGCTTTCAAATCCTCAGTTCTCATCTTGCTGGATCTCATCCTCCTGTCAACCCTCATGTCTCAGGAACCGCACTCCAATGGTTCAAGTCTTACCTCTCAGTAGGTTCTTCAGGGTGTCGTGGAGTGGTGAGTTGTCTAAGTCGCACCATCTAGCTAATGGGGTGCCTCAGGGCTCAGTGCTGGGACCGCTTCTCTTCTCCATCTACATGTCATCACTAGGATCTGTCATTCAGAAACATGGTTTTTCCTATTACTGTTATGCTGACGACACACGACTCTACCTCTCACTCCAACCAGAGGATCCGACAGCTCGCATCTCAGCCTGCCTGCCTGACATTTCATGCTGGATAAGAAAACAGAGCTGCTTGTGGTCCCGGCCAACCCAACACTACACCACAATTTCTCCATTCAGCTTGGTTCGACAACCATACGTAACTCCATCAAGGTCAGCCAGGAACCTTGGAGTTATTGATGAACAGTTGAACTTCACGGATCTCATTGCTAGAACTGCCTGGTCCTGTAGATTTGCCCTATACAACATATCAGGTATCAGGCCCTTCCTAAAAGAGCTACACAACTCCTTGTCCAAGCGCTTGTTATATCCAGACTGGACTATTGTAATGCTCTCTTGGCAGGCCTTCAGCTGCTGAGTCTTTAACCATGTTCAAGAAACTGCTTAAGACGCATCTCTTTTGTCAACACTTGACCCATTAATACTAACAATTACTATTTTATATATATATATATATATATATATACAGGCCTCCATCCATCTTGTCCACAAGAACTCATCTTTTGAGTGTCTGCAAATATAATTCAGTTTATACAGTTTGCTAGATCTTTAGGGTGTGTTGTGTGAGGATGAATGAGATCGATTCATGTCGCTGTGAGAAACTGGCAGTGTGAACAGGGCTTGAGAGTGTTGTGAGTGAGAGTACGGGTGAAGCCTCTCCCACCCAATTCCTCACATCGCCAGCACCTAAACTAAACATTTTAAAGAAAAAATTAACAAACAGCATGTATTAACAAAGATCTTGCAAATAGTTTGAATAAATGAATTGTTAATCTTAATTTTAAATGGAAAATTCACAAACAGCAACATGTCTCCCTATTTAAGTTTAAATTCTTGACACCTTGGCTTGGACCCTGGTTACGGCCCCTACGAAGCATGAATGAATATTCAACATTCATACTGTCAAACTTCTTTGAGGTACTATTAAAAGCACATATATTTCCCTTAAAACTAAGATTGTGAGATTACAAGAGCAGGAATTATCTTTGAGTTTGTAGATAACGGGTGACAAGAATCTGGGTGAAATGTGTTCATTTATAGATTAATGAGTTTAAAGAAAGGAACAAGGCGAAGGCTTCCTTCCAACATCAGACACATGTTCAGACTTGCCCAGTTGGAAGGAGAGGTCTGTTAATAGATCAATCCCTGGAGAATGTCGTTACCGAGCACAGCAAGTTCCAACACTTTTGTCAACATCTCCAGAGATCAACAAAATGAGCCATTGGTAAGTGTCGACATAACTGTATGATGCAAGTAGTAGCTACTATGTCTTTGCAATGTTGCACTGAATGCCATTTTGCATCAAAAAAGGTCTTTCTCTCTTCGATATGGGCTCATGTTTAAGTGGCTCCAGCTGTCACATTTTGTTCGCAGATATTTCCTTGCAGCTTTTGCTTTTGGCCAGTTGCAGAAGCTAGTTGAACAAACTCTGAGTTTCAGAGTATGTTTGATGTTCAAAAAAACAAACAAATCCAACCTGAGTTGAAACAAACAAATCCAATCCAACGAGTTCAGAAAGATCACAATGCATGTTCTCTCAGGGTTTTATTACAGAGGGTTATCTATTCTACCAGTACCAATTTTTTGGAGGTAATTTCAAGAGTCATTAATAACATGATGTGTATGGATTATGTTCCATGTTTTATTCATCAATCAATCAATCAATGGTTGAGGAATACTGCAGTATAGTATACTAATGAAATCAAATCCTTAAAACCAGCAGCAAAATAGACACCACATTTTAATCTGAAGTATGCAAACATTAAAAAGACCATTGTGTTGACACAGACCTTTGGATCATCAAGTTTATTTGCAAATGAATTAGTGAAGTTTAGTAGTCCACACACCAGTGCTGCACATCCACACTAAACCATTCCTTATTTACACGTTTTTATATTCCATTTTAAATCCCCAAACTAACTGTTCATCATAAGCTCCCGTGACAAAAAAAATGTACATGATAAATGAGTTTTGAATATATGAAAAATCATACAGCTGAGTAAAACCAGCATTTCAACACTATACAATTGTTTAGATTTGTTAACAAACGTGTCCACATTCCATCACTTCATTTTTAATAGGCAAAATATTAAACTTGAATAAATGTGAAGTATCCTGTATTTAACGCTGCATGCCTCGGCAACAGAAGCAAAATTAATACTCATGTCTGTATATTAAAGGAAAATCACACTTTTTGTCTTATACTGTGCACATGAAGGCATTCTGAGTATTAGTTACATTCTATTACAAAATACCAAATATGGCTCTCACAATGTTTATTTGTGCCTCGAGTGTAGCTTTAACCCTTCGTTCTCCATTTATACATCCACCGTATCAAAACCAAAAAAGAGAGAGAACATGGAAAAAAACATTGGCCTTTATACTTTACGTACTGCAATCCATGACTAATGACTGCAGTCGTAATGAAGAAGAGAAGGACGGTTTATGCATTAATATGACATCACAGCACACTGGAAACAAGAAAATCAAAGAGGATCGGTGTTAATCTGTAGTGCTGATATTCAAAAACACCAATCCTTCATGCAGAACTGGTGTTGGTGATGGATTTAGTCTTATTTTCTAACCTCACATTTGCTCTTTTGAGCTCATTTAATTTGACTGGCTCTCTAAAGTTAATCTGAACATGACAGAGACTGACTGGAATGGAAGCAAGAAGTGCAAAGGACACAGATATCCCTCTGCAAACACTTGAATGATCTACAGCTATGAATTAGAGAGAAGTATCAGTTGTAAGAGAAACTCCACCTGGAAACAGAAATTGTGCGGCTCTTCAGTGCATTCGTTTAGCACCTGAATTCAGAAAGGCGCTCGGATAACCCCTCAGCGAAATATACATTCTCACCCACCCCGTAATGAAAGGGCACTACATGAAACCGTCATGTGACTTAACATACACGTTTATAAAGGATGGTGCAGATAAGTGTCTGTCTAAATGAATTATGAATGTCATTATATGTGCTCAACCTGCTCATTCTGGCATAATCTAAATCTTGTTCAGCATGTGCAATAGTGTCATGTGTATATACTGTATGAATGTTCACGACGAGCCCTTTGACTGAAGCAGTAATGAACGCCCTCGGCTCGGCGTCGGGGTGGGTCAGAGTTCGTTGCAGGCCGAGTTCTCGGTGGTTTTAAACATCAGGATGGAGTTGTAGATTTTCAGCGCAGGTCCTAGTTTAATGCTGAGGATCTTCACCAGGTCCACCTGAGTCAGTAGCAGGAAGGCCTCTCCGTCAATTTGCTGAAACCAAACAACAATAAATCAGCTGATAAACACACACACACACACAGCGGCCGCTGATCTCATTTCTGTTTACATTTGGCATTGTGTGACATTTGGTGATTATTCATCACCATGGAATTATTTTTGGTGGCAATTCAATGGAAAATGTGGTACAGGTGAAACTCGAAAAATTAGAATATCATGCAAAAGTTAATTTATTTCAGTAATTCAACTTAAAAGCTGAAACTAATATGTTATATAGACTCATTACATGCAAAGTGAGATATTTCAAGCCTTTATTTGTTATAATTTTGATGATTATGGCTTACAACCTTTTCACAATATTCTAATTTTGAATTTGGGGTTTTCATAAGCTGTAAGCCATAATCACCAAAATGATAACAAAAAAGGCTTGAAATATCTCACTTTGCATTTTGAAATAAATGAACTTTTGCACGATATTCAAATTTTTCGAGTTTCACCTGTATATATGAATTAATAATAATGTGTTGATGTGGATATGTATGATCCTATACTGCACAAATGAAAGGTGATTCATCTCAATTGATTATTTTCTCTTCATATTAAGATCAGATCATTTATAACTAAGAATGCACCAATATTACAATTCCAGCCGATACGATAAGTCGATAATTATTTTCATATTAAGGCTGATGATAACGGATTAATGGACAATACTAAAACAATCATTTGTCTAAATAAATTAACATTAAACCACTAAAAGGTACAATCAATCACTTTAAATGCTACAAGACAATCAATCGCACGATTTAAAGTGAGGGATTGTGCATGACAGGTGTGTGTGTGTGCATGAATGGATTGGCTGCAGGATATTACGAGTGTGACACTGATTTTATCCAACAGTTCAATAAACAAGAAGTAATTTTAGATGCAATAGTTACTCACTTACCTAGTTTGTCTCATTTGTATGCAAAGTGGACAGACATCTTGCTCTCAAGCAAAGCAGCACTGCTGTTCTAATATATATTAGCATTCTTGCAAAAACACTTGACCGATCAAATTAGTGGACCAAATAATCTGTTTTATTTTAAAAGAGAAAAAAAAAAGTACAATAATTTTCACCAGTGGTCTGAGACTTTTGGACCCCAATGTCCGTCAGCACTCATTAATGCAGCTCCCATTTGCACATAGTAAATACGTTTAGAAAACAAAAGGTAAAGACACAGAAGAGAACAGGAGGAGAGAGAGATGGAGATGGACAGCCGAGCGAGGACAGGATTATTTAAAGCTCTCGCCCTCTGGCCTGTTTAACACTCTTGTTAGTGGTAAACAGGCATGATGCAGTGACGTGGGATGACTTGACATGCCTAAAAATGGTTTCAATGAGATCTTCTCAGATATCCCATCATGCACCTTGCTCTCTCTCTTCCTTAAGCACCATGAGATTCTGTTTCTCAAACGCTCCAGTTACTCCTGCTGCCAAACCTCACGATGGAGGACTGGTTGAGCATTTCTCTGAGGATTCAGTCATTCTAATTCCACTCGTAATTGAAGGGAATGATTTACCTCCTCTCTGAAGGTGCGCACTTGTTCTTTACAGCCCGGAAGTCCTTGGATAAACTCAATCACCTACAGAATAACAACGGAGGAGGATTAGAGGAGGTACAACACTGCAGTTTACAACAGCTGGCTTCAAAACAAATCAGATGACCTTAAATAAAACTTGCATCAACTCAACAAAGCGTAACGGGTGTGACTGGAGATCTGTGTACCTCATCCACGCTCCACGCCGCCACTTTACCGGCCGTGATGCCCGCCACAGTCGGAAGCAGCTTGCTGTGCTGGTCCCAGCAGTGAGGCATGCTGGGAGACGGGCTGGAACATGGCATGAATACAGACTGGTGCAAAGCCTGCTGCAGAGTCAACTCTAAGAGAGAGAGAGAAGGGAGAGTTATTGAAGAGCTAACGTGCCCTTTCTCAAAGTCTTGATGTAGTTTCAGGCTCTACTAGAACAGGTTTTCCTGCTTGAATGTTGATTATTTCCTCATATTCTCTATTGTTGCGGCTCCTCTCTTCCCAGTCTGTCAGTAACGCTCTGTTTACTTCCTGTCTCTACGAAGCCCCTCCTCCTGAAAGCACACTGTGCTCTGATTGGTCTGCTGGATCAGTGTGTTGTGATTGGTCGAGTGCTTCGAGTGTGTTTGGGAAATGTCCCGCCCCTTCCCATAACCGCCAGTTTAACACACTACTAACTAACTCAACCAGGCCCCGCCCCTTTATTCTGCGTATAGCTTGGGCAGAAATTATAAAAAATTAGGAATATTGTGATATGTTCGTTCCCGGAAGAAAACATCTCAGTTACGACTGTAACCTTGGTACCCTGAGAAAGGAACAAGTCACTGTGCTAAATCCATTTTATGATAATCAATATCCATCCATAATCCATTTTCTTGAGGGCAAGAGGACACACAGCTCTGCTATAGTTACATTATTACAGCTTTGACTCAAATAGGCAAAAATGAGAGTCCACAATTAAATGTACAGGAAAAGATATTAATGATCAACATCCATTAGTTTTTTTTTTTTTTTACAATCACTACGACACATTTCTCAATACTTCTCAATACACTCTTCACACAGTGATCACAGCATCAGTCTATGTGAGGTAAACTGAGGATCATTTATTATTGCTTTGACACAAAATGGATTCAATGCCCACATCTTTCAATTGACATGAATTCTTTTCTCATTTAGACACAAACATCACCAAAACTCAATGACCCTACAGGCCAAATTGCACACGTTTACACTCTCTGTTCAAAACTGTTCAAATTAAGTTAAACAAAAATGAACGAGAGAAATTTGCACCATTTCTACAGTAATATCATATTGAAATATATTCTGGATCGAAGAAATCCCTTGCTATCAAAGCAATTAGATGAAACTGAACACCAACACGTCTTTCGGTTTCATTACCATCCAGTCAAAAGGGGAAAACTTAGGAATAATTGTGTAGTGTAATGTAAACATGGGTAATGCAACATATACTGCAGTGAATTATACGCAGTAGAGAGTGTCGTTCTTGTTTTGGAAATAAATATTACAAAGAAAATATAATACAATGCTACCCGATGTTAGTGTTTTATGATTCTTTGTTAGTGTTCTGGAAGAATGAGTTGATTTGAGACATGAATGAAGTGTTTTGACTGTTTTAGTGCATTTTGAATATGAAATTAACTGCTGTGAAGCTGAAAATTGACCTAAGTATTAAGAAATGTGTCCTAGTGATTGTAAAAACCTGTAATAGCAACAATACCCAGTATGGTCAACATACTACGCATAAACTGAGTTGGCAAAATATAGTGCACATAGCACAAAAATATTATGTTATGCACACTTTGACAGGTACAGAATACACACGTTAAAGATGGTGCTCGCCAGGGCTAATGGACGCGGTCTCCATTAAATGATAATTATAAGTATAACTTATCTTTAATCATATTGATTTACTGACACCAGAATCATGGCTTGTAATGTTGTCACACTTTAAATTTCAATAGTCAGTACCTGTGCAAATAATGAACTCTGGTACCAAAGGTAAAAAAAATTGCTATTCATATTAAACAATTATAATTATAAAAGTACTGTAAAAATTCCTTAAAAAAATGTTAATGATGAATTAAAACAACTGTATGTAGTGAAGTAGTTTTAAACTAACATGTATATACAGTTGTTTTAGGGGTGGTGATGGCGCAGTGGATAAGACACATGCCTTTGGTGTGAGAGACCCGGGTTCGAATCCACTGTGAGACACCAATGTGTCCCTGAGCAAGACACTTAACCCCTAGTTGCTCCAGAGGCGTGCGACCTCTGACATATATAGCAATTGTAAGTCGCTTTGGATAAAAGCGTCAGCTAAATGAATAAATGTAAATGTAAATGTATATAGCTTCAAAACGAGTAAATAATCAGTAATAAAGAAGAACAAAGAAACTCATTACATGTCAGGGTTATGTTTATTTTGTTTATCTTTTATTAGTTCTCGTTTTGTTCCTGTGTTTCCTTTCAGTTTAGTTTCCGTGTCTTTAGGGTACGTTTACATGAAAACGATGTTCTAAAACGGAAAGGTTTGTCCATTACAATTTTCGCATACACACAACAACATTGTCGAAACGCAGATCTGCGAAAACCACTAAAACCACTGTATTCTGCTGCCAGGCCAGTAGTTGGCAGTAGTAGATGTCACTTTATAAAGAAACACTACAGGCCTATAGACTGAACACGTAATATTCATGTTCATAACGTCACTGTTTTCACAAATTAACGTTTTTGTAGTTTACACAGCGACCATAACGGTATCGCTTTCAAAAACTTGTTTTCAAAAGTTTGCATTTTCAGGCCCCAAAACACCATTGTAATGTAAACAAACGGCCAAAATGCATAAAAGGGTTTCTTTTTTTGAAAACTGTAGTGTAAACAACCCCTCAGTTACTTATTCCTTTCTGTTTGTTACCATGGTTACTTATTAGTCACACCTGTGTCTTGTTTTTCTATTTATACTCCTTGTTCTGTTCTGTTCCCCATCGGTTCTAATTTTATGTTTTGCAATGTAAGTGTGTTTTTCCCGTTGGATTGATCTTCTGAGATTATTAACTCTTTCTCCGCCAGCGGTTTCTTTAAAAAAAAGTTGCCAGCGTTTTGGTCATTTTCACAAATATTTCATGGCCCCCAGAATATTTTGTTGTATGAATATCTGAACATGCAATTTATCAAAAGAAAGAACATAGCCTCTGTTTTTAAACAAAAAAAGTTTTTCTTATCAACATTTAAATATGGGTAAGTTTCATTAAAAAAGCAACATTTTGAGCAAAAAGCTGCAAAATCCCGTTTCTGTCAAAGACTTCGTCCAGATGGGATTCAGAACAATGATCAAAACACAGTGGAGTGGACCGAGTCCGTCAACACCCCTAATGCTTGCACAGTCCTATAGCTCGTCCTGGGTCAACATTTCATTCAGTAACATTCGGCAGTTTTGATTTCCATGCTGTTTAATGTTATTTTACATATGCACATGATTACATATAATATCGCTTGTTTCTGCTGCTTCTTCGCCTGTGTTTTGATCTGGAGATTCAGTACTCTTTCAGAATTTGTGTAATAGCGCCCCCTACTGTATAACAGTGGAAACACGGATTGCCGGAAAATTCCGTCAATGGCGGGGAACGAGTTAAAAGTATCGATGTTTGAATCCTGCGTCATGCATCTGACTAATACCACGCTATACATGACAGACAAGCAAGAGTGACTTTTCTCTTTTTCTCAGCATTATTGCTGTTTCATTATTATTGATGACATCATAGAGCGTGGCAGGTCTACTTGGCTGCAGTTACACTAATTAAACTGTTTAAATCTGAGAGATGTTTGTTACGGCAAATTGTGTGCTTTGAAATTTGACAGTTAAAGTAAATCTTGTTTATAAATGACAAAATTACTTTCCTCATTTGTACACTTCACCTTGTGGGTGTTGCTATTTTTTCATTTGTTGGGAACAGCCTTATGAATAAAGTCGCCTTCTTGCGGTGCCAAAAGCCATGTAAATTCATCAGCTTCTCAACTGGTACACAGTCCACTTCATGCGTTCATGAGCCGCCGTGCTCCGTGCTGGATGCCACGCACTGACACAACACCCTCCCCCACCGCTGGCCTTTCATGGCTAATTCACTCTGACAGAGTCCTTCTTTGAAGTTGGAACAAAAAGGAACTGGGCTGCGTTTCCTAAAAGCATCATGAGCCCAAGTTGATCATGGAGACCATTGCCACCAATGTTAACTACAATCAACTTAGCTCACAATGCTTTCGGGAAACACAGCCCAGAACGCTTTAAGAAAGCGTGCTTATCTCAAGATAATGTCAATACAGGAAAACCTAATCTATCTGCACTTAAAGGTGCTGTATGTAACTTTTTCACTCTACTAAAGCATAAAAATACCATAATGTGTTTGCATATATTGAGGAAAAATGCTAAGTTCACATACTGGTTTCTTTGAAAAAACACTTCTACAGCCAGTTATTTTACTTTGACGTGCGTTTCCAGGCTGGAATGTTTGTTATTGTTTTGGTCAGTGCGATACTGCACGTTGCCAATTTACCAATTTTCACTGTCCATTGGGCTCGTTCCTGTTGCGTGGGAACCCGTGTGAGCGCCGTCCAGTCTGAGGAGCAGGTGGCGGGAGAAACGACGATCTCCGATATTTTGAATTCGACTGCTGTACCTATTTCAACCACTAGGTGAAACTCAAATAGAAGAGGGTCATTCTTAGATACTGCACCTTTATAGGTCAGGCTGCACTTTTATTGAATAAGAAGTTGTGATCTACTATAAATTAGCCACGGGCTGGTAAAGCAGTATCTCTGTACTGTTAACACAGGTATGGAGGTTGTTATGGAGCACAATGTGAACGCTCTTAAATATCTAGTTCAGTCATGAAACTCTAGAGGGCGCAGGCTGATGGTCTTTAATGCAATCTGAAAGCTATCTCATTATTACCACATGGCACAAGCTGATTGGCCTTTGCTAATTTGCAGCCAATCTAATTGCTTGCTCATCATTTAAATAGTCTGGTTCAGTGTTTGCTGTAAGCAAGTCCTCACTATCAGAGCTCCTCTGAACCCCTCCACCTCCCCAGCTCCACCTGCCTGGATCTGCTGATGGATGTATCTACTGTATGTCTATTTATGCAGCAGCAGCAGCAGATCTTACCCGCTCACAGCAGCGTGTCTGTGATCTAAAGGCAGTAGCACGTCATACTTGCTCTGCAGCAGCAGCAGCGGAGCGATTTAGTCCGCTATATACAAATGCATTAAGGCCCGGGCATACTTAATTTATACTTCACGTCTCACGCACAGTCGTGTCTGCACAGCTTTCAA